CCCCAGGAGCTGGTGTTAGACTGAACCGAGCGAGGGGTCAGAACCGTACCCACCCCCAGTCAGTGAGCGGCCGAGAAAGGCGGCGTCTTCCCTGTAATTGTATTGCTCGGGTGGGAGAGCGAGTATGGATTTTCAGTGTGACTCGTCATGCCCTTTGACATCTTGATATGTATAAACAAAAGCAGACGGCCCTGTCATACAGTGATTTAGACTAGCGCTCCTCGGAGTCCATGTTTACACCGTCCTCACCGTTTTTGTCATTTCAATGGTCTGCTCAGACTTATCTTAAATTTATTTAAGAATCCTCTTTTTATCGTTTTAAGGTTTTTGCCATAGGGTGTGTGCATTCACTGGAGAGAGACAGAGAGAGGGGAAGTAAGAAATCATCCCCCGGGGGGGAAGATGACCACACCACAATCCTTCTCCTCCATTGCCTTCTGGGGTTTGGGGCACATGTGCGTACATGCTTGGGGTGGTTTTGATGTGGCTGGCTCTGGGACTCGAACCACAGTCAGTAATGTGGGATCCAATGCCTTAACCACCATATCACATTTTGGTCCCTAAAATTCTTCTTTAAATCATCCATTTTTTAACTTGACTTCATTTTTAGCAATAACAATATTATTATTTTTTAATTTGCCAGAGGGTGTATGTGTTCGTCAAGGACTGAGAGAGAGGGAAAGGAAGAAAGCACCCCAGTGGGGTACAGTCACACTGCAGCCCTCCCTACTCCATTTCTCTGTCCTGTCAAGATTTGGGCACACATACAAATGTGCCCATGTTTCTCAAGCCACCAGGTGTGGGATTTGAACTGCGTTGTTGACTGTGTGGGATCCAGCTCCCTTAACCACCAGGCTATGGGCTGGCCTTACGATGCTGTTTACATGTATATTGAATATATAATAGTATATGAAGCCTTCAGGCTTCATTTCATTAGTGAATTTTGTTCACTAATACACATTTAAATAATAATAACAGGAGCTGGCAGGTGGCGTGGTGGTTAGGGCACTGGACTCCCACATGGCCGGCCACGATTCAAGTCCCAGGCCTGGCGGTTTGTTTTCTCACTTTCCATCTCTTGCTCTGTCCCTCTTTGGTCGAATTTAAATAAATAAATAACGTTACATAAAGTAATTCTTTAAAATAAATAAATAGTATCGGAGCACTTACCTTATGCCAAGCACGCTGCTACGACTACACCTTTGGTTCTTACAACAATCTAATGAAGTTGGCTCTGTTATCCACTTTATGGGTGAGGAAGCGGAGGCGTAGGAGGAAGCAGACTTGTCCGAGGTCACAGCTGGCTAGCCAAAGGACTGGGAAGTCAGGCCCCTAAGAACAAGCCCATCCTAGCCACGTACTGACACGTGACTCTGAGTATGTTCCAAAGGCCATTCGGGCCAGCCTCACGTGGGACGAGGGTCCCTAAAGACACAGCAGGGAACGCAGCTCTGTTACTGAGATGACAGTGTCGCCGTATGTTCTGAGGAGGAGGAGGATTCACAGACAAATGAGCTAGACGTGTCTGGGATCATGTGTGTCCTTGAATGCAGACACAGCACGCATAATGAAGAGTGGGTGGGTTTGGTGTAACCGCTTTGTCCCCTGCCCCCAGGCGACAGAGGCCCAGGGCTAGGAGCCCGGCAAGGGCCAGGGAGTTCACAGCGATCCTCCAGCTGGGTGGCTGTAAATTCTTTCTTAAATGTCTGGGGGTGGCCAGACGTGTAGGGGCTGGTTGACATCACAGTGTGGCCCTCCTTGAAGGAAAGCGGATATGGTCAGAAGCCCCAGCTCTGCTGTCTGATTGCAGCCAGGCTTCCTGGAGTGGGCATGCCGGGAGGATCTCGGACCAGGACAGGGAGAGGTTCCCTACTGGGTGTAGATAGTCTCCTGAGGGAAGGACCTGTCCATGCAGGGCCAGCCTGAGGCCCCCACCCCGTACCTTCGCTAACCTTCTCTCACTTGGTGCAATTTCAGAAATCTCCCTGCATGCAGACGTCACCCGCACTGGCAAAGTGAAGCCGACCAGAGCCAGGAAAGACCAGGTACAGCTCCACCTCAACGGACTCCCAACACGCCCTTCAGCCCCGCTGGGTGCTCCTAGGCACCCTCTTGTGGTGATGGGATGAACAGCAGTCTTTCTCATGCGTCCCATGTTAAGTTAATGATGAAAAAAGAGACACATTTTAGGAAAACAGAGAAAGGAGAAGAGAAAAACCATCATTAACATTCCCTTGTTTCTTGGACTTTTGACTAAGATCAAGTGTGGTAATATTTGGGTTTGTAATTTACTGTCTCTCTTTAAAATTTACTGTGAGGCATGTGCACTCACAGAGAGAGCCAGAGAAGGAAGGTGAGAACGCACCTCCTACGAGGGACGGCGAGAACGCACCTCCTACGAGGGACGGCCACACTGCAATCCCTTCCCCTCCACTCTCCTCTCGAGACTCTGGGTACGCACACACAGACCCGACGTGTTTTTTAAGCTACCAGGTCTGGGACTCGAATCACGCAGTTGACCATGTGGGACCCAGTCACTTTAACCCTCATGCCACCAGCTGGCTCCAGCTTACTATCTCTTTTACAACGGATTTGTCCCAGTTGTGAGTTCAGAGAACGTTTTGTTCTACAAATCAGAATCTCCAGAGAGGCACCCAACTAATACGCAGCAAAGAGAAAATCTTAAAACCCAGACTGTAGCCCCCAGTGGGAGAGATCCCCAAGGTGCTTCCAGCAAGGATGAATCATCAGGAGAGGAAGGGCTGGCAGAGGAGGCGCCAGGCGAGGGCAGCGCAGGGCAGCACAGGTGCACTGCAGGAAGGTCACCTGATGGGCTCGGCATGGGCAGTAGCCTTGACCCAGGCTGCAGAGAAGCTTCAGGGTGTCTCTGACCACAGAGCTTCCTGCACAAGCCGATGCTGCCATGCACTTTCCGAGGCCGTGACCTACCCAGAGACCAGGATCCCTCCGTGGGATCAGCCAGAAGTGCAGAGAAGAACAACAACTCCAGGAGTGGGACCCAGCCCTTGGCTCCCACCCAAAATGCAGTCACCTCCCAGGGTCAAGCCTCCCTGCCAGAGGGGGTGTCATCCCTGCTAGATCCCTGCAGGGTGGGGCAGCTTACTTTGCTTTCATCTCCACGGATGCGCAGTGGCTGCTAAGAATAGCACCCACGCCGTGGTGGCTGAGTGATTCAGAGTGCACATAACAGTAACTATTTAGATTAGGATCTCCACACACAGAGTGAGCGCCATTTGCTTTGTCCACTCAACATTTTTAAAGAGCTGTTAAGATCAGTTTTGCTGTCTGGCTACTTTTTTAAATGAACAGAAGGGGGGCCAGCAGATAACAGTGGTTGCGTCACTGGACTCCCACATGGCCTACCTTGGTTCAAGTCCCAGCCCCAGTGGGATCTTGCGTGCCCAAGATCCCGAAAGGAGAATGGAGGAGAAGGGATTGCAGCTTGGCCCTCTACCCTGGAGGGTGATTTCTCACTTTCCCTCTCACTGTCTCTGTCTCTCTCTCCAGAGAGGGCACATGGCCTAAAGCAACAACCTCTTTTTTAAAAAATGAATTAAGAGGACTGTATTTTTATGGATTTGCTTATAACTTTTGGAGTAGGCAAAGACTCATTCTTGGGTCCAAAGAATTATATGATGCAGAAGAAGATGTATAAATGGCACGAGGCCTAAGAGATGACAGGGGAAGCTGACTACATGCTCCCAAGAGCTGGAGGGCCCGTGGTGGCTAAGCCTGCCTCTTCTCTTCTGATGTCCAGGGGACCTGGACCTGGGGCCCTCGTGGGCAAGGCGCCATCCTGCTGGTGAACTGTGACAAAGACAACCGCAAGTCTTCCACTATGGACTGCGAAGATGACAAGGTGCTTGACAGCAAAGGTGAAGACCCTGACAGCTCCTGTGTAAAGCCCTTTGTCCACATGGCCTGGGCCTTCTACCGCCCCCTGAAATGAAGCTATCCAAAGCGTGTTCTTGTCAGCCTGTCCATTTCACAGGTGAAAGAACAGAATAAGGCTCTGAGGGGACAAGGGACCTTCCCAGGTCACACGACCGTCAAAGAAGAGCCAGGACTAATGCCGACTCTCCTAAAGCCTCTTGAAGGCTCAGTTTCCATGGCTCTGCTCCCTGCTTGACCCAAACATCTGTTCTTGGGTCAAACCTGGGGCTTGAAAGAATCCAAAATGAAAGCGTACCCCTGCGTCACCCAGAGCAGCCCCCAGGCCCCTGCCATGAGCTAGGCACCACTCAGAATGACTTCCTCACTTGATTCTCTGACCTAGAGCTAGGAGGTAGAGACCATCTCCCCACCGTACAGATGGGAACTAAGGCAAGGGACGGCGAGCCGCGTGTGATCTTAGCCCGAGGTCGCACGGCTAGTAAGTGGCAGACTCGGGATCTGAACACCTGACCCTGACTCCAGGTCAAGTCTAGGGGCATGAGGATGGTGGCGGATGCAAGATCTCTCTGCGGGCCTGCCTCTGAGCTGCCGGGGGCTAGCCCAGGGAAAGACGCACCACCCACCTGCACTGGAGGAAGGTGTGGAGGGCTGAGGCAGGCAGGGCGAAGCAGCAGCGGGGCCTTCCTGGGGACTTGCTAGAATAGCCTAGAAATGGCTGCATCTTCAAGTTGTGTGCCGCCGGCCTGGCCTGACGCCAGGCACGCAGTAATCATCAAATCAGCTCCCTCGGCAGGCACTCCCAGGGCACCAGGCCCTGTAATGAGACTTCCTGTGCACCCCCTCCTGGCTTACTGCGGAGAGGGGAGGGGCAGCGAGAGCGACTGTGACTTCTCCGCGCTCACACAGCCCCTGAATTCAAGCCACTTCACCGCAAAACCCTCAGCCCCTTGGCCACCACCCGGTCCCTCAGAAGTGGTTGTTTTGCTCTCCTGAACCCTCGTCGGCTGTTCAATTGGTTCGCAAAGGCCACTTCCTGTTTTGGACCAGGGCAGAAACCTTTTGCTCACTCCTACACACGTCTCTGAACACCCGCCACTGCTAGTTGGTGTTCCAGGTGCTCCTCAGCCTTCTCGGGGCCGTGTGCGGGAGACACTGCCGGGCACGGGATGAGCCTGGGCCCGCCCCACTGAGCTGGCGTCCTCAGATCATCCATGGCGGGAGACCAGAAACTTAATCAGCTTTCACTCCCAACGGGAAACATCCTTGAGATCCCGGAACTAACCTAAGAACGCTAGAACCAGGGACATATGAAGGGAGGCCTGAGGGGAGGGGCGGGCAGGCTCCTACGAGGCAGCCACGGCGGGGTCAGCCACCTACGCCACCAGCCACTGCTCCCACGGCTGCATCTCGGCCATGTCCTTCTCCTTCCAGACCTGCAGGACATGTCCCTGATGACCCTGAGCGTGAAGACTCCCCAGGACTTCTTCACCAGGCACCAGCTGGTGCTCCACGTGGCCAAATCTCAGATGGACAAAGTGCGGGTGTTTCACGCCACACGTGAGTCCTCCTCTCCCCCCCCCTCACACACACACACACGCACCTGTCTGATCAAACACATCCGCAGCTTCCTGGCAGCACAGGGGCACCTGCTACCCAGTGAGCCCAGGCCTGGCCCCAGGCGCAGGGCAAAGTCGGGCATGTGGCAAAGCCCCTGCCCCGTGTCACTTTCATCTTGGTGGGCTGGGAGAGATGACAAGCAATGGTGTCAAGTGCTATGTGGAGAAGTACAGCAGGAGGAGCCAGCAGGTGGTATGGTGGCCAAGGTGGCTGGATTCCCACATAGCTGAACTTGGTTTGAATCCCGGACCCGGTGGCTTGACAATCACACCAAGCACGTGTGAGGAGAATGGAGAAGGGATTGCAGAGTGCCGTCCCCCTGGGATGGGGTGATTTCTTGCTTTTTGTCTGTCTCTGGCAAGAGCACATGCCCAATAGCAAAAATCTCTGAAAAAAATTAAAAAGCATGGTCAGAAAGACCAGCAGGTGGCACGGTGGTTAAGGCTGCTGGAGTCCTGGACCCAGTGATTTGAAAATCATGTTGGGCACATGTGTGTGCATGTATGTGGCTGAGATCCCGACTGTGGTGTGGCCATGCCCCCGGGGTGATTTCTCTCTCTCTCTGTCTCTCTCCTCCCTGTGAGTGCACGTGCCCTATGACAAAAACCTGACAAATGAACAACCAAAGCACAGCAGGGGATGGGACATGGGTAAGGGTGGAGCTGGGGTGTGGGGAGAAGGTACTAGGGAAGGCTTCCCTTGTCTGGTGCCACGGAGCAGAAAGAGGCCCAGGAGCAGCCGGGAACACCTCAGGGAAGGGCGCTCCAGCAGAGGGAACAGCAAGTGCAAAGGCCCTGGGGCGGGCCTGCGCCTGTTAGGTTTGAGGCATGCTGGGAAACCAGTGTGGCCGCAGCAGAGTGTGCAGAGTGTTAAGTGAGGGCAGAGGGCCAGAGGGCCAGAGGGGCAGTTCAGGCACAGACTTCTGATCCCAGACTGCGGGAGGTGGAGGAAGCCACGTCCGGGAGCCGTGAGTGGGGGGTCTTGCAGAAGCATGACTTGAACAGACTCTCTTCATTCTAGACCAAATTGTTAAACTGGAATTGGCCTGGTGGCAGACTGGCTTCCTGCCTCTGCCTGGGTGTCACCCCCTCTAGGAAGCCCTCAGGGCTTCCCCTCCTCGCAGCACTGATTGCTCTTTGCTGCTTCCTACGCACCCATGAGACTGGCACTCCCTGCGAGGAGGGGAGGATGCTGACTCTGTCTCCCTCCCGCCCACAAGCCATCCCAGCCCCAGCTGAGAGCTGACAGGAGATGAGTAAGTGACTGAATGAATGGTGTGTATTAGATGTCCTGTAAAGAGGGACCCCCATCTTGCTCCTTCTGGACCCCCCAGCCGTAAGGAGAGGCTCTGGCCAGATTCAGCTGTGAGGGCCTGCAGGCGGGGCCACATAGAGGCTCTGGGAAAGGCCCCTCTTGCTGGGGAGAGGGATGGGAACAGGGTCTGAGAGGTGTGGACCCAGGCCTGAGCCTCTCCTTCTCTCCCAGGGGGCAAGTCGCCCTCCAGGTACAAAATGGTCTTGGGGCCCCAGCAACCCTCACATGTCCTGGAGCTCCCGGGCGGCCAGCACAGCACGGACTTCTATGTGGAGGGCCTGGTCTTCCCGGACGCCGACTTCCCGGGGCTCGTCCTCCTCACCCTCTCCCTGCTGGACTCGTCCAACCTGGTAAGCAAGAACACCCAGAGCTGGGCCTGGGCTTCCAGACGGCAGCCTGCTGCGGAGGGGTCAGAGCCCAGCTGGCAGGGGAGGCTCCACGCTGCCACCAGGTCACAGCAGGTGTTGGACCTGGCTGCTATGACGGGGCCTGCTCTTCCTCTCCCCGCAGGAGGTCCCCCACACCCTGGTTTTCCAAGACAGTGTGGCCTTCCGCGTGGCCCCCTGGATCATGACCCCCAACACCCAGCCCCCGCAGGAGGTGTACGTGTGCAGGTGAGGGCCCGGGCTCCGGGGCGGGCTCAGAGCTCCAGGAGGAGCGGGGCCCTGAATTTTGGCTGCAGTGTCACCGTGTGAGTGGGAGGAACAGACCCCTGCCCTGACTCTTGGAGAGCGCGCTGCCTTTTTGACATGAAACTGCAGGGGAAATAGAAGGAAAGTTGTCATTGCCACGGTCATGGCCATTGTCCTGCCCAGATGCAGGCCAAGGCCTGCTCTAGCACCTGGGGCCTACAGAAGTCTTAGACCTGGAAGGTGAGGCCTCTCTGTCCCTGAGCCAGGCTTCCAGGGCTTCCCAGAGTGTGGCCCGTGGACCTGCTGCACCAGCGACTCCTGGTGAATGGAACCCGAGTGACCTGAGCTGCCGGGTCTTGTCTGTGGGGTGGAGGCGCCCACCTGCACTCTGGGAGGCCTCGGCACTCAGCCCATAGCTGAGAGCTGGACCTGCCCAGTCCTCTTCTGATGGCTTCAGAGGCAGGAGTGAGGAGACCTGGTGTCAGGACGCCGGCCAGAAGCCAGGGAGGTGCGGTTTTAGTGCCAGTGTTGTCCCGGGAGCAGGGACCCCCTCCCAACTCTGTCTTCTCAGTGGAAGACAGAATCCTTACTGCTGTAAGGGTTTGACGAGACAGGAGGGGGACGGGGGACAGGAGGGAACAAGTCTCTATTCAGGCCATGGGAGTCTCCAAGCACTCGTGTCCCCACCCTCCCTCCAGCCTGAGCTCCGGAATCCAGAGCACTAAGGCGCTTCTTTCCTGCCCTGTCTAGGGTTTTGGAAAATGAAGACTTTCTGAAGTCAGTGATTGCTCTGGCCAAGAAAGCCAAGTGCAAGCTGACGGTCTGCCCGGAGGAGGAGAACATGGATGACCAGTGGATGCAGGTATGTGATGCAGGTGGAGGGGGACCCGGCTTACTGGCCGTCCTTCCTCAGGTGCGTAGGAAGGTAGGAACTTCTGAGTTCTTACATAAGGGACGTCAATGGGCCACCTGGCGTTACTGGGGCCACCGTGAGCCCACTGGACTCACTGGGGCAAAAGCCCCCTTCCTGCTAGAAAGCCCTCGGACAGCCCCAGAAATGATGGGGCTCAGGTCAACCTGTCCCTTGAGTGCCAGGCTACACCCCTGCTCCAGAACGTTCCACAGCTCCCATCCCCTGCTCAGCCGGCTTCCGGGGCTCTCCTGGCTGGCTCCCCCACCCAGTGCCAGCAGCAGCATCACTCTTGCTGTTTCCGTGCCAGTCTCCCCATCGCACTGGGAGGGCCCCAACCACTGAGGCTGGGTCTCACTTGGCTCGGCACCCAGCCCCTGGTCCTGAGTCGTCCCAGTGGGCAGCTGGCAGGATGGACAGCCTCCTTGCCCTGCGTGCTCTGCCTTGCGCTCTGCCCTTCCGCACCACCTCTCCTGCACCTACCTCTGCCTGTGAGGTGCCTTGGGCTGTCCTCCTCGGTCCCAACTCCCACCTCTAAACGGTCCCCCATGTCCATGCACCCCCTTCCTAACCCCAGCCCCCCGGCAGGACTTCATTCCTCTTTCTTCCAGCCCCTAAGCGTGATGAGACAGGAGGGGGACAGGAGGGAACGAGCTCTGTTCAGGCCACGCAAGTCTTCCTTTCTTGTCCTGGCGTCTTTACCACGCGGGGCTGTCCGACCTGCCAGGATGGAGGCAGCACGCGGCCCGCCGCTAGCGACCTTCGGGGGTTACGTCCAGTAGGCAGGAGGGGCAGATTCATTTTCATTTTTTCTTTTTTAGTTACCAGGGGGCATGAGTGCTTGCCAGATATAGTCAGAAAGAGAGCGGGAGAGGAAGAAAGCACCTCCTCCATGGGGTCTGCTCATACCACAGTTGTCCGTCCTCCATTTCCCCATTCTCAGGGATTTGGGGCATGCATGCACACGGGCCAGGCACCTTTTTCAAGCCACTGGGGCCAGGATTCAAGCCACGGTCAGCCACGTGGAATCTGGCTCCTTTAAGCACTTGGCTACTAGGGTAGCCCAGCACCAGATTCTTTTTTTTTTTTTTTTGAGAGGTTTTCGCTATAGGGCGCATGTGCTCGCCAGACAGACAGAGAGAGACAAAGAGACAGAAAGCGAGAAATCACCCCCCAGAGGGGATGGTCACGCCGCAATCCCTTCTCCTCCATTCTCCTCTTGGGATCTTGGGCACGCACGCACACGCGCCCGGCGTGAGTTTTAAGCCACCGGGTCCGGGACACGAACCCTGCTCGAACCACGGTCAACTACGCGGGAGTTCAGTGACACAGCCATTATGCTAACTGCTGGCTCCCCACCAGATTCATTTTTAAGACCACCCTAGTGCCCTGCCCTCATGGGCTGGGCCAGGGCTACCTGCCCTCCTTTGGGGAGGAGACAGGGAGGGATACTCTTTATTTGTTGAAAGTTTATTTATTTTCTCTAGAGTGAGAGAGACAGAGACAGAGAGACAGCAGGGTCTTGATTCCACAGCCCCCCCAGCCTCTCAGCCAGGCCTGGACCATGGACACATGCGTGCCGGGTACAGCCAAGACTGTAGGAGCAAACCCAGGGCCTTCCCAGACGCGGGGAAGCCTGACAGTGTCCTCCCGGCCCCGGA